GTGTGCAGGTGCATGCCCGTGGAGCTCAGAGGCATCTGCTTCTCCTGGTGCTGGAGTACAGGCAGCTGGGAGCCACATGAAGTCCACACTGGGAACAGAGTCCTGACCCTTTGGAAGGGCAGTGTATACTCTTAACCGCCGAGATCTCTCTCCAGCCACGGCCTGAACTCTTCTTTTTCTGCCATTTTATCTGTCTCAGTATCTTTGGTTTTAGTATTGAGTTATGAACTTGTGAAGGTGTTACACTGGCTTATTTATTATTTTTATTAGTATCATTATTATTATTTGATGTATACTTGTTGGGTTTTGTGTATTTTGGGGAGTGGCTGTGTTTCCGTTTTGTTTGTTTTATGAGTCTTCCCTGATGAGAGCTGTCTTTGCTTGGGTATATTCCCTGCTACTGTCTGGAGGGAGACCTCCTGCAGTAACAGTAATGGGTGGACAGCAGCCCTGGTGTCAAGATGCAGTACCTCACTGACACTTCTGGAGCCCAGCTCTATTTCTGTCTTTATCCTCTCCTACAGGATGGCTGGTGTCCTGAGGTGTGTCATGGCAGGTGTCATGGCAGGTGCTCCTTGAGTCGGTTGAGACTCCTGTGCTACACTTGCCTCTGTTCAAGCTGTCCCTCCAGCTTCCTTCTCTCTTTCCTTCCCTCTTCTCTTCCTTCCTCTTGGTCCTTCCTTCCCCTTTCCTGGTCTCATTCTCTTCTTGCCTCCTTCCCTTTCTCTCCTTCCCCTCCCCTTCCTCCTCTTTCCCTTTCTCCCTCATCTTTTCCCTTTGCTTCATGTCCCCTCCCCTAGTCTTCCTTTCTTAGCCTCTCATTTCCTCCCCTTCCTCCCCCATCTTTCCCCCTTCCTCTCCCTTCCTTCCTCTTCACTTTTGCTTTCTTTCCCCTTCTTTACCTTACAGTCTACCCTTGTGTAGCCCAGGTTAGCCCTGAACTCTGGATTTTCCCCTCTCAGCTTCCTGAATTCTGAATTATAGGCAAGTTCTACCATACCTGGCCAGCCAAAAGACCTAGTTCTTTTTTGATATAGTTGTTGTTTAGGACAGAATCTCAGTATGTAGCCCTCACATGCCTGGAATTCACTATGTGGACCATACTGGTCTTGAACTCATAGAGATCTGCGTTCCTCTGGCTCCTCAGTGCTGGGATCAAAGGCAGGTCTACATTGTTCTTAATTAAATGTCCACCCTGTTTTTAATTAAAATAGGCTCTTTGAGAGTAATTGGGGTGGGAGGGGGACCTGCATGAAAGTGTATATTATTAGTATAATCAGTGCTGAGAATGATGAATACTGAGAGCTAGGGAGTGGATTCCGGATGAGTGCTGGGATGAGCCAGTCGTGCTCAGGAGGTGAGCCAGCCAGGCTCAGGCTGAGCAGGCGCTTGTGGACTTTTCTGTCACCTGTGTAGCGCCTGCAGTAGAAGGTCCTTTTCTGAGGAAGAGGCTATGCCAAGGTGAGGTGACCGTGAGAGTTGGCAAGCCTGGAGAAGTAGGCTGGGGCTGGGCTAATGGTCAGGAGCCCATGCTAGGAGACTTTTAAAAAATCTGTAATGTGTGAAGGGTAGAAAAAGGAAACCACAAAATCAACTTTGCCTGGTCAGAAGCCGACTGTGAGGGACTGGAGTTGTAATTGACTGGGCAGTAGGTCCTGACAGGAGCCGTACTCCATGAGAACTTGTTAGAAACACAGACTTTCTTTTTCTTTTACTTTTTTTTTTTTTGTGGGTGCATTGGTGGTTTTGCCTGTATGTATGTCTGTGAGAGGGTATCAGACTCCTGGAACTGAAGTTACAGGAAGTTTCAAGCTGCCATGTGGGTGCTGGAAATTGAATCTGAGTCCTCTGAAGAGCAGCCAGTGTTCTAACCTCTGAGTGCATACTTTTAATCCCAGCACTGGGAAGCAGAGGCAAGGGGATCTCTGTGCTTGAGTCTAGAAAGTGTGTTCAGGACAGCCAGGGTTACACTGAGAAATCCTGTCTCAGAAACAAACAAACAAATAAAACTAAACAAAAACAAAGCAAACAGATTTTCAAGCCCCACTCTAGAACCGCTGGGTCAGTCCAGGTTGGTGTGGATGGTCTGTTTCATTTGATTGGTACACCAGCAGTTGAAAGTGGAAACATCGTCAGATTGTGAACTGTATTTCACATAAAGTCTGTAGTTGATTTTATTTGGCATGTTCATTATATTTGTGTTTGACACTTAAAATTGAAGGAAATAAAATAGAAATTTGTGACTTAGTAATTTTTCTAGGAAAGCTTAATATTCAAAGATTTCCTAGCACACTAGGAAAGTGTGCTGATGTATTTGGAAAGGGAGAGGGAGCCCAGGCCAAGTAGAGGCATAAACTACAGACAAGTAGAGATACTGACCTAGAGAAAAGTCAGGGGAACGGAATCTTGAATGTTGTAGATGTTGGCTGAATATGACATTGATTTCTAACGTATTTAATCTGAAATTGGGAAAACTGTTGGAGGTGCTGTCTTAAAAAGAGGACCCTCCCACTCGTAGAAAAAGTGTTAGAGGGGCCAGTGGGTCAGTGGCTGCTGAGAGAGGGCGGATCCACTTCCTTCAGGGATGAGCTCCCCCAGAAGTTATCTGATGAAGGTGGTCAGCCTCGGGTACACTAATACAGAAGCACGTGGACTCAGTGGGTTATGTATCACCAAGGACCAGCCTCGGCTTGGAGATGGTTCTGAGAGAAGGGGAGTCTGGGAGCGGTGAAAAGAACTCAAGTCAGATCCTGGATCCTGTGTTCTGCCCGAGATGGCATCCTAGATTGCTCTCTGTAGATAGCTCTTTAGATTGTTCTCCCCCACCCCACCGTGTGTGTGTGTGTGTGTGTGTGTGTGTGTGTGTGTGTGTCTTTTAAAAAATTTTTATTCTTTTGCTATTCTAAAAACCTGTGGTTGAGACAGCTAACTTTCTGTTCGAGACAGCTCTCTCTGCTAGTAAAATTCTTAAAGTTCTCTCCATAGCTCATGGGTTTTCTGACCAAAATCAGAAAAGGTGCTATAAAAAATTCAAGTCAGAAATCCTGTTAGAAAAAAATTAAAAGTAAAAGTAATTCTTGCATTTTCCCATCGAAATCAGAAAGCCAGAAAAAGTTTTTAAAAAGCTGTGTTTGCTCTTCAGCCAACCTTCTCTGGACAGCTGCTAGAGAGCGTTCTGAAATAGTTGTCAGCTCTCTAAGTAATTCTTGGAGTTTCCAACCCAGGGCAGAAATCCTATTTTAAAAAAAATTCTAAAAGAGCTTTTAAAAATTCTAAAAGAGCTACATTCCCTTTCCATGGACTTTTAACTAAAATAAAAAATTCTGTTAAAAAATTCTTAAAGAGATCTCTAGACTGTTTAGCTCTCACTAGAAAAATTGAACAAACAGAACTGCCATCACTTTCTGTTGGTTCAGCTCGTACAGCCCAAACATTATCAGCTCAGTTATTTATTCCAGTTCTCTCTTGACCAGCCCACAAACTACATTCCAGATCTTAGCTCCGTGACTCAAAAAAAAAAAAAAAAGGACAGGTAGTACATTTTTTTTAACGTTGGGAAAAAAAAAATCAGAGATCTGCCTTCTTTGTAAATTTAGCTGGATAGGGCCCCTTGTCCTGAGATTAGCATTCTGACCAGACCTGGACATAATTAGCTCTTTCCTGCTGGCCTTAAATTCAGGAATCCACCTGCCTTTGTGAGCGCAAACTACAAACCTCAGCTGGGTGGGGTCTTCCAATCTCCACTCCCTAAATCTCTCATCTCCTTCCTTAGCATCTGTCTGACAAGCTGGCTCAGTGCAGCTGCCTCTGCTCCTCTGGATCTGTGAAGATCCGTATACAACTCAACTCATATTGCATCCTTATATTTTTGCATAATTGAGAAATTATATAATTCCAGACTCATGTTTTTAGAGTTCCTTTCCACACACTTAAAGGTTGTCCTAAAGATCCCAGCATTTACTATTTTGCTGAGACATTAACCACACCTTCGCTTCTCGGCCTCATGCTGTCTCTGATTACCATGGAGTCATAAACTCTATATACTTCTACATACCTGCGTGCATACATACATATGTGTGTTTGCACATACACACACAGGCACGCATGCACGCACGCACGTAACAATGGTAATTAAAGAAGAGATGGTGATGTAGGATGTAGAACATAGGCGGGTTTAGGGGGAGGGGTAGGAGTGACATTGATAGTTACTCATGTGTGAAACTCTCAAAATAATAAAACATCACAAAGATAAAAAGGAGACTATGAAGCCAGCATTCAGGAGGCTGAGGCATTAGGACCGCCAAGGGTTCAAAACCAGCCTGGGCTGTGGAGTGAGACATAACTGTGGCATAACGGGGTGAGAGTATGAACTTTATGTTGTTGATCTTAGAAATGGTGGGTTTAACAGAAGTATATGGATAGAACACAGAGAGACACAAACATACACAGTCACTGATAAATATACAGATACACAGACATTCTGACATTCAGAAAGACATAGAGGTTCACACACAGAGGAATTGTACACACACACACACACACACACACACACACACACACACACACACAGAGGAATTTTATCCATCCATAAAAGAGGAATGAAAACAATAGCAACTTCCAGAAAATGTATGGAACTTGAAATCATGTTTAAAATAATAAGTCATGCTCTTAAAGAAAAATGTCATATATTATCTCATATGTTGAATCTGTCCTAGGCAGTCAGCAACACACAGTAAGTGGGCCTGCTTCAGTCTTTATAGACAGACTAGCAGATAACTTGCGTCTAACACGTGTTTTATTTGTTTTTCTTTGAGGGTGTGTGAGGGCTATGGGTTTAAATATTACCTTTGTTGAAATGTTGAATACATCTGACAGTACTTTCAGTTTGCTTTGTTTTGCTGAGTGACCAAAGGTTAAGATAAAGCAAATAGTATATAAATATCAAAATTGTGTCTTAATTATTAACTCATAATTTTTTTCTCTTTTAATTCTTTTTCTAGGACCCATCTGTCACACAGGTGACAAGAAATGTACCACCAGGCCTTGATGAATATAATCCTTTCTCCGACTCTAGAACGGTAACATTATTTATTTTTTGCACTTCTTTTAAATGGAAGTTAAATAGGTGATATTTTAATTATGTTTTTTTTCAGCTTATGGATTAACGGAATGTAAAACAAGCTATGTGAATGTGTTATTTAGAATTCAGCAAGTTAGGATTGGTGGTAACCTGAAAATTGCCATGGTGGCTCTAGGGAAGTTCCTGAGATTTCCTCTTCCATTGTGTAAACTAAAGTGCTAGCCCTGTGTTACATGGACTGTCTCGTAGTACCTGAGGCATTGGGAAGTAGGAGCGTGTCACTTGATGGTGTGCTGCCTTTGTGGGAATGTGGGCCATGCTTTCCTACAATGGGGACTGCCTCTGGCATTTGTGTGCTTGTCTTTTGAGTCACCTGCTGCTGTAGCAGTTTCCTTCTGGAAATCTACTTGCTCTTGGAAAAAACTTTCTTCCTCTCAAAATTCAGTGTTGCTTCAAGGTATGAGAAGAACTCCCCTGATGGGTGCTCTGCTACCCTGTGTGCTCATTAGAGGATAAAGGACCGTGCTTGGCCGTGCAGTAAGGTCACAACCAGTTACAGTTAGGGCTTTTTGTTAAAGCCTTTCTGATAATTTTATTTGATCAAGATTTTAGACCTTTTGAAGTAGCTTTCTCCTCAAATAATGTTGTCTTCTAAAGTTCTGTTGATATCTTATACAGCTGTACACCAGGTCCCTAGTTATAAATATTTGTGACTCTGAAAATGTTAGTCACGCCATGGATACTTGAGTTGTATATGTGGACTTTTATCACCCTATAATGATCCTTAACTGGTGATCACCTCTTCTGGTGAGTATTTTTCATAGTGTAGAAGATTATTCTGAAAGATAATGTACAATTTCCTTGGGGGTCTCTTCAATGTGTATTTTACTGACTCCTTAGTTTTATAGGAGATTTATACAAAGTTGTAATTAAAAACAAAAATGTATTAGGTCTATGTCCTCAGTTCTGGGTATATAGATCCTAAAGCTTTTGGAATTTGATGGGTGTTAATGAGGTGACTGGTAGCTTTGTGTCCCTAGGTGCTTCAGGATGTGTGTGTGTGTGTGTATACCAAGAGCCTGGTGCCCATGGAAGCCGGAAGGAGGCATCAGATTCCTGAGAGTTGGGAGTTAAGGATGGTTGTGCATTACCATGCAGGTATTGGGAATTGAGTCCAAGTCTTCTGTAAGGGCAGCCAGTGTTCCTAAAGGCCGAGCCAGCTTTCTGGCTTGGTGCTTATGTTTTGTTGAGCCTACTTTCTTACAGAACCCAGAACCATCAGCCCAGGCATGGCCCCACCCACAGTGGGATAGGCCCTCCCCCATCAGTCACTAATTTAAAAAATGCCCTACAGGCTTGTCTGCAGCCTCATCCTATTGAGTCATTTTCCTGAGGCTCTTTCTTCTCAGAAGACTTTAGAGTGTGTCCAGTTGACATAGAACTAGCCAGCACACATCATGTTCTCTTTAGAGACAGATGATTAAGGAATTGAAGTCCTGCCTTTGGAAAGTTTGTCACCTGAATGGGATTAAAACCCTCCACGTACATACAAAGAAGATACATATGGGACAAATGAAACATAAAATGGTAACATATGGTCCTGAGTGTTGAGCCTCTGAAGTCCCAGAAAGGCTTTCTAAAGGAAGAGCGTCTAGCTAGGCTGTAGTGAGAGTGTCTAAAACTAAACCACCAGTGCGAGTTTTCTGCACAGGCGCATCAGCACCAGGACCATGATTGTTGTCAGAGAACCCGGTGAAGCGTGGGCTGCAGTTTTATTTTTTAAGCTATGTTTTATTTCATGTGCATGGGTGTTTTGTCTGCGTGTGTACCATGTGCCTGTAGTGCTGGTGGAGGCCAGAAGAGGGCCCTGGCTCCCCAGGAGTTCACGGATGGGTGTGAGCTGTTCAGTGGGTGCTGGAAACCAAACCTAGGTCCTTTGCAAGAGCAGCAAGTGCCCTTACTGAGCTTTCCCCAGCCCCTAAAACTTCCTGACAAATTTAATTAAATGGTGCGTTTGACTTTAGTCCAAATACTCTTTTAGTTGATTGGTGTATTCCTATTTGTTTTCGAATGAATGTGTGACATGGAAGCTTCTAGATCGTTCATTGCATAAGGATATGAGTTACTTTAGGTCAAGCAGGCAGATTCTACAGCAGGACGGCTGAGTGTATAGCCTTGCGGAGATTTAAAAAGTTCACATTATTTTATTAAAAGTAGGTTTCTCAGGGCTAGGAAGCTGATGCCTCCTTCTGGCTTCCATGGGCACCAGGCTCTTGGTATACACACACACACACACACACACACACACATAGGCGAAATACTCATACACATGAAAAATAAATCCTAAAGATTTCAATCAAGGTGTTGTGGTATGTGTCTTTAATATCAGCACTCAGAAGGCAGAGGCTAGTGGATCTTTGTGAGTTCAAGGCCAGCCTGTCCATGTAGGGAGTGCAGACCAGCTAGAGATACACAGTGAGACTCTGTTCTGTGAAATCCAATGGATACATCTACAAAACAACTCCCACACCTAAAGCTGAGGGAACATTTCAGAAGAGAGTGGAAAGATTGTAAGATCAGGGAGTTGGCTGTGAAATTGTGTCTCCTAGTAATTCGAGAAGCGAGGACAGCAGCAGTAGACATGCCAAAATGGATAGTAGAAAGTCAGGAGGTCAACCCTAAACGGAGAACTACAGGCAGCTGAGGGATGCTCAGAGTGGGAGAAGTAGTCTTCCACACAGAAGAACATCCCAGCTGCTTATCCAACACCAGATGGTCAACCCTGAAAACATACATAAATGTAACATTATATAGACTAAGGAGGCTGTATTTAGGAATATATATGTGTATACATATATGCATGTAACAGCAAGTAATGAAAAAAGAGGCTGCCTTAGAGTTACTGTTACTGAGATGAAAAGTCATGATTGAAGCAATTTAGGAAAGAAAAGATTTATTTGGCTTCCATGTCCTCATTACTGTTCATCACTGAAGAAAGTTGGGATAGCCTTTAATCCCAGCACTTGGGAGGCAGAGGCAGGCGGATTTCTGAGTTCAAGGCCAGCCTGGTCTACAGAGTGAGTTCCAGGACAGCCAGGACTACACAGAGAAACCCTGTCTCGAAAAACAAACAAAACAAACAAACAAAAAAAGGAAGTTGGGACAGGAGCTCAAACAAGGCAGGATCTATACAGAGGCCGTGGAAGAATGTGTTTACTGACTTCCTCCCTGTTATAGTTAGGGTTCTATTGCTGTGAAGAGACACCATGACCAAGGCAACTCTTATAAAGGGAAACATTTAGTTGATACTGGCTTACATTGTTGGTTCAGAGGTTTAGTCCATTATCACCATGGTGGGAAGCATGGCCGCCTGCAGGCAGACATGGTGCTGGAGATGGAGCTGAGAGTTTTACATCTTGATCCTCAGGCATCAGAGGGGGCCTGTGTGCTATATTGGACAAAGTGTGAGCACAGGAGACCTCAGAGCTTGCCACCACAGGAGCATACTTCCTCCAATACGGCCACAACTCCTAATACACCACTCCCTTTGTACACAGCAGTCAAACACATGAATTTATGAGATTATACCTATTTAAACCACCACATTCCCCATGGCTCGCTCAGTCTGTTTATAGAACCCAGGACTACCAACCCAAGGATGGTACCACCCACATTGGGCTTGGGCCCTCAAACATCAGTTATTTATTAAGAAAATTCCCTACAGACTTGCCTAGGACCTCATCTTGTAGAGTCCTCTTTCTCTCTCTGTATGTGTGTGTGTTTCTTTCCATCCATCCATCCATCCATCCATCCATCCATCTTCCTCCCTCCCTCCCTCCCTCTCTCTCTCTCTCTTTCTTTCTTTTTGGTTTTTTTGAGACAGGGCTTCTCTGTATAGTGCTAGTACTCACTCTGTAGACCTGGCTGGTCTTGAACTCACAGAGATCTGTCTGCCCTCTGAGTTCTGGGATTAAAGGTGTGTGCCACTAACTTCCAGGCTAAAGCAGTTTTCTTAGTTGAGACTTCCTCTTCTCTGATGACTTGAGTTTCTGTAAAGTTGTCATAAGCTAGCACTTTGGCCATGACTTTGAGAGAGATCAAGGAAGAGTATATGGGAGGTTTGGAGGGAAGAAATGGAAGAGGAAATGATGTAATTATGATCTCAAAAGAAGATTTATGATGTGTAATTTTTTTTGTTGAAAGAAAACTTCAGGTAGTTAAAGAGTATAGGATGAAAAGTTGAATACTTTTTCAAGTTTTGATTTACACAGTTATAAATTCAAGAGTTTTCCCAGGATGCCATATAATGTAGCCAAAGCATCTGCTGGTGTGGGAGCTCTGGGCACTTGGAGTGGGCCTCCTCTGACTTAAGATGTGCTCTAAATATAGCCGTCTGGAGTTATGAAGTCATCTGTGTTGCTTGAATGTAAGGTGTATTTTGTTACGGAGATCGTGTACATATACAGTACATGCTAGGTAGGTCCCCTGGTCTATCTTCTGAGTTGCTAGGGCAATGATTGATCCTTGAAAACTGATCAGGAACACTTCCCTTTAACCAGGTAATGGTTTACATTATCTTAGGGTGCTCATGGCCTCTGACAGGGTTTCTTCTGACAGATATTAAAAGGGGACACATAGGCTGGAATGCGGTGCTCTGGATAGAAGTCCTGGGACACACTTTGGGCCTCACTTGCTGCCATGTTTCCGTTCCTTGCAGAGGGTTGGTCTACCTTCTTTTCTGCTTTGTTCCTTGTATCATGTGCAGTTTCTCTCTTAGTACCTTCCAGCAGAAAGAACCATGAGAGGGAGATTGCCAGGTGGTCATCCTAACTGTAAGGGACATAAATTAGTGGCTTGTCTAGGAAAGAGCTGTCTCTAACATTCACCACACAGGCCATGCAGTAGATGGAGGGCCTGGAGACCTGCATTTTAGCCCAGTTCTGACTGCTGATTAGTAGATAACTTCAGGCATGCATCTGAATGCCTTTGGGTTTCATT